TGTGTGTGTGTGTGTGTGTGTGTGTGTGTGTAAACAGAAACCTGAACATGTGTAACTCAGGGTGTGTGTGTGTGTGTGTGTGTGTGTGTGTGTGTGTGTGTGTGTGTGTGTGTGTGTGTAAACAGGATGCTGGCTGAAAGGAAACCATGTTCAAGTTTTGACCTTCTTTGTTTGTTTTTTTATGTTACTAGAGAGATGTAGAGCAGTGTTTCTCAACCCCTGGTCCTCGGTACACTAGTGTGCCGTTAGTGATGGTCAGGTGTAGAAAATCATCCTATTTCACCTCATTGGTCTAAAAAGATTTTTAAATAAGGAATTTTCTGTAAATAATATTCCGTTTCTGAGTGTGTGCTGTTCTAGTGACTGGTGGAGTAATCATGTAATAATTCCTTATGACTAGATTTTGTATTTAATTTTGTATATTGAAGTGGACATGTTAAGGGCAATTTGAAAGAAGAAATATAAAATATGATAAAAATACATTTTTGTGTTTATTTGATTCCTATTCAAGACACTTAAGATAAGATAAGAATAAAATAAGAATAACTATAGTGTTACTATAGGCGGATACAGATTTGTTTAACATTTTTGGTTGGTGGTGTGCCTCAAGATTTTTTCAATGAAAAACTGTACTTTGGCTCAAAAAAGGTTGAAAAACACTGATGTAGACCATAAAAATGAGTCCTGCTGAGAACAGAACCTGTGCATCCCACCATGGTTTATTTCTAAAGATGTACAAGACAGATTCTTTATTGTCAAAAGAAAGAAAAAGGATACACAATACTGTATTTAACCCTTTAAAGCCTGATCCAAGAATAAAACAAAACAGAAAATTACTTTTTTTTTGTTTGAATTCCTTATTTGGCCTTTAAGCAAAATATGTAAAAAGAAAAAACAGAAATACATTTTTGGTATTAATAATTTATTACTATGCGATAAGTCCAGATTATTTTTTGTGTATCTTCTGCCCCCTGTTATCAGGTGTATCTGATTGTGTACAATAGGATTTTGAGAAAAGTTTTTACCATTAAATTATGCAAAAGGTGTCAGACGCAAAACATTTCAGAAACCGTATCAAATATGACACATTTGGCATTACAGGGTTAAAATAAGATAAAATAAAATGAAAAAAACTAAAATACGTACAACTTCATTGGGTTAAAATTCCCATTTGTTAAGAGGGACCTCCATCCCTGTGATTAGAGTTGACTA